CTTCCCCCGACTGGAATGTCAGTTCTGGAAGGCGGGGATGGGGCATCATTTGCACACTGCTGAAGCCCCAGCACGCATAGTGCCTAGTATGCATTAAGTGCTTAATAACTACTTTTAAAAATTTATTGATTTGAGAGAGAGCAAAAGGGACGGGGGGGGGGCGGAGAGAGAAACATCAATTTGTTGTTATTTATGCATTCCTTGGTTGATTCTTTTATGTGCCCTGAACAGAGACAGAACCCGCAACTTTGGCGTGTTGGGACCCTGAGTTACCAGGCCAGAGCCTCAGTAACAATTTCTTGAATGAAAAAACAGTCACCTGAATCAGAAGCTACAGATGGGCCTCCAAGTGTCAATTTACCCGGTCACTACAATACCCCAGCCCCACACTAGAAAAGGAGGCTGGCTGGCCTATAAAACCCCAGGGGTCTCGGCCCGTCCCTTCGGTAACAGCGACGTAATTCCCAGCGCGCCCAGGGAGGCATGGTAAAGGGGTCAACCCCGGATCCCGCCTCGACTCAACGAGGCGGGAGTGTGGGCGGTCCCACCAGGCTCTCCAAAGCTTTGGAGGCTCCTCCCGCCGGTAGAAGCCAGGCCTCCGAAGAGCCGCGCTTAGCCGGCTAGGACCCGGAGGAATCAAGCTCCCTGAAGGACCAGCCTCCAAGCTCGGGGCCCTGGGCACCTCCTCCAGGACCCCGTGAGCGGCCCCGAGTCGAAGAGCACCCAGTCTCGCTTGGCTCCAACACCCTCCCGCGCGAACACTCACCAGCACTCTCCTTCCCTCGTTGCGACAGCCGCGTTCACCCAGGAGACAGTGACTTCCGGCTCTCAGCGGAAGTGGAACCTCCTCCCCTCTGCTCACGTCTCACCCATTTGCAGCCGGGACAGCCCATCGAGCAGAGCCCGCCTCCTCCATCTCTGTGCGCACGCGTACTCACGTCGCGGTGGAAGGGGGTTGCCTGGCGGGAATTTTGCAGTGCGCCTGCGCGAGGACTAGAGCGTGTCCGACTGTTGTCAAGCAGAAGCGTAGTACTTCTGGTCACATCCCGGGGGTGGGCATTCCTGCGTTTCTGGGGCGATGGCCAAGGCAGCCCACAGGTGGAAAGGTATCTTTGTCCGCGATCGCATCATCTTCCTGAGGATTCTCACTTGACTTTCCCGATTCAAACACCCGCCCCTCGCAGCCCATCTAACTCTCTCCAATGTGGGATACATTAATATATCCCGGTGGTAAGGAATTGTAAATACTAGTATGGCTGAATCAGGGTGAGGGGAAGCTTGTAAAGCCCTCTTCTCAAGATTTAACAAGGACCTGAGGATCTTACTACAATTCAGCGTTTGGTCACTGGTGACCGTGATAACAGCTGTTTCCTTAGTGTTCAGGAATATAACTTGTAAGGGTGTATATTAATAGACCTATCTCCAGGACTTCCACTAGAGGGCAGCGTTAGCCGTGGAAGTGGCTTTCTGGCAGACCTCTTCTTAGTGCAGGTTACAAACCTGGACACACAGGATGGGATCATACAATAAACAGTGCTTTGCAACTTGCTGTTTTCACTTAATGGTCAACACACATACGGGTAACTTTTGTTTCCAGTAGCTACACATCATAGTGCAACTCTGCCACAGTATCCGGGCAATCCTCTATTTGCTGAAGAGTGCCAGGTTATTCTTCCCTCCCTCCCTCCCTCCCTTCCTTCACAGCTTTATTGAGACATAATTGACAGACAATGAACTGCATGTATTTAAACCATGAAATTTTATGTCTTCAGAAATGCATATACCCATGAAACCACCACCACAATCAAAATAGTGAATGTTCCCATCACCCCAAGAAGTTTCCTCCTGTCTCTTTGTAGTCAATTCCTTCCCTGCCCCCAGCCCCTGGCACCAACTGATCTGTTTTTAGTTCCTATAGCTTTGTATTTTTTCAGAAAGTCACATTAACAGAATAACACAATGTCTAGCCTTTCGAGTTTAGCTTCTTTTACTCAGCTTATTACCTTCAAGTCCATGTTGTGTCTCCGTAGTTTGTTTCTTTTTATCGTTGAGTTGTATTCTGTTATGAGGACATACCAGTTTGTTCATCCTTTCCACTGTTGATGGACATTTGGGTTGGTTTCCAGTTTTGGGGACAATGATGAACAGAGCTCTTGTGACCCGTCTCATTCAGATCTTCGTGGGGATGCTCATGTTCATCTCTTGTTCTGTTCTATGTTTACACTGCAATATGTGATCCCTCTGGAATTCATTCTTGTATACGGTTGGAAGTAGGGTTCAGGCTCTGTCTCCCTCTGGGCAAATCAACAAGGCAGATTATACCTTTTCTGTGAAATTGCAATACCACCTTCAACCTACATCATATTCTGGTGTGTTCTTGAGGTTTTTTCCTGGATTCCCTCTGCATGTTTTCTCAGAGCCAAAGTCGTGCAGGTCTCTCACCTTCTTATTCATAATTCTTGGCCTTGGAAGCACGTGAGGAGGTGGGTGTGGCATGATTCTCCTGGGAAAACCTGCTTGCTGCTTGAGGGTGCTGGTGCCCAGACCAGCATGTGGTGTGAAGAGTAGGGTGGGGGCGTGATAATAGTTGTGACGATTGAATCAGATGTGCTCACTTGGGAAGAGTGAGAAAAGATGAGTCCCTGTGACTGGGCTTGAGGAACTCTGTCAGTTCAGAAGGCATCTTTATAACAATAGCTAGATGCTGGTTGGCATTGTTCCCTGAACCAGACAGAGGTCCTCTGAGGGTGAATGTCTATCCTGCTTTATTGTTTTTTGTGCTCCTGTGTCCCCTGTCTGGCACAGGCCTTGGTCTTTGGTGCTTGGTCGTTGTGGAGGAGGGGGCCAACCCCATCCCTGCCACACGTTCCCAGTGTCAGCTTTGATGTGTCACTTCTCCTTTCCAAGCTCTGGGCCCTGTGAACTGGGACATTGGGCTGATTCCACGCTTTGAGCCCTGCCAATGGGGATATTGGGCTGACCTCTGATTCAGACGCCTTCCTGCTCAGAACCTCTGAGTCAGTGGGAAGAAGCAGTGTGGCCGTGAGCTGCTTTGACTGCCAAGGTGAAGACTAAGAGTCTGACACTTCCTGGACATGACTTTGGGTACTTAATCTGTTCAGTTTCTGTAATGTCCTTTGAGAAGCAAGGCTGATTATGGCCCTTCCCTCGTGGGTCAGAATTAGAAATGATGGTGGTTCTTTGTTTGTTTGTTTGTTTTTGCATAGAGTGTGGCTGGTACTGATGCCAACCAGGTAAACGACAGCTAGAAGGAGCTCAGAGCTGATCTTTGGGTAAGATAGCTTTGCTTAATTTTAGCAGTAACACTTGCACCTTGTAACAAATATGAGACTATGGATATCTCTAAAGTAGTGAATGGAAGGTGCCCCTTCACCAAATTCCTCTCCCCAGCAGTAACCTCAATTAGGTTTTGTCCAGGCGATTTCATTTCATTCAGCTGGGCTGGCAGCTGAATGACAGTTGAGGTCGAGCCAAGGGAGAGGTTTCTGTGACTCATCTGCTGCTGTGGGTGGGTGTTACTCAACTCTCCCCAGAGGGGGAACTGGGCTGCCCTGCAGCTCAGCTCAGGATGCACATTCTGCTTTCAACTTTCATGGTAAGGAACAGGCCCTGAAATAATTCCACTTCTGGAAGTTTTCCTACATACATAGTTGCACAGGTGTGCAAAAGCGTGGGTCCAGGAATGCCCACTTTAGCCATGTTGGTAAAAGGGAAAGATCGGAGATTTCAACGGGCCCCAGCAAGGAGCTAGAGACGTAGGTGGAAGCTCCATGGCTGTTAAAAAGAAGCGCAGTCCTACTCTTGTTTATCCTACAAACATATTTGCCCATGTAGGTCACAGGGACAGGATCACTTGTTGCAGCATTCTTTGAGGATAGCAAAATTACTGGAAGCACTGCTGGCGATCCTTACAGGGGTGTCCAACCCGAGGTCTGCGAGCTGCGTGCAGCCCAGGGTGGCTATGAATGTGGCCCAACACAACATCGTAAATTCACTTAAAACCTTTTTTTTTTGCTCATCAGTTTTCGTTTATGTTTGTGTATATAATGTGTGGCCCAAGACAACTCTCCTTCTTCCAGTGTGGCCCAGAGGTGCCAAAAGTTTGGACACCCCTGTTAGGAGATGTCTGGTCAGATAGGCAGTGGGTCAGGCACACAGCGGGGCTTCCATAGCTGCAGAGAAGCCAGAAGCCACAGAGCGTTGATGGACAATCTCCAGGTAAAACAGACAGGAACAGGAAAGCACAGAGAGCACTTTTGGGGGTGTGGGGCATGCTTGTATCTTAATTGTGGTAAGGGTTTGTGGGTGTGTATCTTTGTCAAAACTTACAGAACTGTACACTTTAAATGTGTCAATTACACCTAAATAAAGTTGTTTGGAAAAACGACAACAAAAAGCAAGGTGCGGATCAGTGAGAAGGGAGGGAAAAAGTCGTTTGCGTTTGCTTTTATTTGCACAGAGAAATACTAGAAGGGAAAAAAAAGCATTTATAAAAAGTTATTCCTAAGAGAGGGGGAGGGAACGACAGGGAAGGGGTGAGAGAGCTCACCTGGCTATAAAAGCCGTATAACCATGTTAACAATCTCGTGTTGAAATGAACGAAATGAGCATCCTGTCAGGAACGGCTGAGTTGTGGTTTAAGTAGAAAGAAGAGTTGTGGTTAAACACGTGCAGTGGATATTGTGTTGCTTTGCATAAAGAAGGGATGTTTTTGTGATGGAGGCGTTCAGCTGGGGAAGGAAAGGAAATGCTGGTGGTGGCTGCCCCTAGGGAGGGGAGCTGGGAGAGGAAGGCTTGTGTGTTGTACCCCTTTTCTGTCTGGTCTTTACTTAAAGTCATGTCCCTGTTTGGGGCCAGCTGGTTGTGGAAGGCAGGTTAAGAGGTGGAGGTACAGGCCAGCAGGGCGGGGAGCCAGACACTCGAGAACCCAGGTGTCTCAACTCACCAGACGGGTGAGCAAAGGGACACTCATGACGCACTTGCAGCCTTGAATCTGTTCTTTTATTGAATGTTTGGCAACGACAGAAGGATGTCAAGTTCAAGAGCATATGTGGTTTTCCTTCTGGCTCAGATGAACTACAGGCCCCTGAGAAGGCCTGTCAAGGGACAAGGGTCTCAGCGGAGCCCCCTGCCCCCGGGCAGGGAATGCCCTCTGCTGCAGACCCCTCACAGGCGCTCGAACCTGGCTCGCCTTGGCAGCCTGGTCTTGAAGAGGGACTTGCCGGAGGCCTCGATGTAAGTGATGCTCATCTCTTTGGGGCTGATCTCCACGTAGGCAAACCCGCCCAGTGAGTTCTCCACCCCGTAGTGGAAGCGCAGGTAGCCACTGGGAACCTTGCGAAAGTGCCTCTTCGAGGGGTCCATGAAGTTCCCAGCCCCACTCAGTACGTAGCCGATGCCGTTCTCATCCTGAAGGTACTGTGGACGGAGGGCTCAGGGTTAGTGGGGCCCCAGCCCCTCAGTGAGGTCGATCCTGGGCATTGTGCCCACCTGTCTTGAGTCCAGGGTCTTGGGTCACCTTGGACAAGGAACATAAATCCCCTTTGGGTCTCAGTTTCCCCACCTGTAGGAGTGTATTGATCCTGCTTCACAAGCCTGCACTAAGCAAGCTACTGGCAACTGGTAGCTATTATGATGACTTTTAGGGAAACTTGGGTTGTTTTCCTGGTTAAAAAGCATGAAGTCTGAGGGGGAGTGACATTTGGGAGACCTCCAAACACCAGGAGGATCCCAGTGTGCCATGTGGCACATCAGCTGGGGTGGGACCCCTTACCTGGCTCCCCACCCCAACCACCTGCAGGCCCCTCACCTGCAGGTTGTGGTCATGGCCACACAGGTAGGCGGTGACCTTGTACGTGTCCAGCAGTGGCAGCAGCTGACGGACCAGGCAGTGGGTGGGCCCGTGCTCGGCAATGGACCACACTGGGTAGTGGCCGGCCACCAGCACATAGTCCTCCTTGGCCGCCGCCAGCTGCTTCTTGAGCCAGGACAGCTGCGACCGGGCCATCTTCAGGTCACGGGGCCTCTGCGGCTGCTGGCTGAGGAAGTCATCCGAGTTGCCACACAGTGTCACTGTGTCCAGCATGAAGATGGCCACGGTCACATTGGACCGTGGGATCTTGAAGTGCAGGCGGTAGTAAGGGCTGGGGAAGTTCCTGTGGAGGAGACGCAGATGGCAGGTACACATGCTGGGCGGTGAGGCCCAGGGTCCTCACAGGCCGGTGGGCCCCTCTGTCCACAGGGCTTGGGGGATGGGAGGGGAGCAGACTCACCAGCGCTTGGAGATCTTGGAGTAGGCGATCTGTGCTGAGACATTGCCCAGATGGTCATGGTTGCCAGCCAGCACGTACCAGGGCACATTGCGGAGGGAAGGGTCAGAGAACACATCCTCAAAGGTCTCCTGCAGCAGACAGAAAGAGCACCCCCACCCCAGGGTCAAGCAGCCACTTCAATACTCCCAGCAAGCCAGGAGCCAGGGACAAGAGAGACGCCGAGTGCTCTATGTCCCCATGAGTGTCAGCTTCCCTCTGCCTTCCTCAGTCAAAAGGTTGAGTGGCTTCTCCCATGTCCCTACCCCCACCTCAGTGGCACACACCTGGAACCTCTTGTCGTTGGCATCCTGCACGCCTGTGAAGTAGAAATTGTCTCCCAGTGACAAGATGAAGTCTGCACCCAGGATCTTTGCCGTCCTAGCAATCTCCTTGGCATTGGCTGTTTCCCGGGCTGTATAGAATGGGGCATTGGGGACCCCTCCCCAGTCACCCACAGCCACAAAGCGCAGGACGGGGGCTGTGCCATCAGCCAGGGGGAGCACCAGCAAGGCTTGCAGGATGAGTAGCACTGTCCTTGTGTCCATCTGGGAGAGGAGAGACAAGCGTCTGGGGACCTGGGGCTGAGGAGTGAGCAAGAGGCTCTTGAGACACCCACTTGCCCTGCTGTGGCCCAGTGGGAAACCCTGGGGGTGCCCTAGTTCCCAGGACTTCAGGGCAAAGTTAGCCAGGAGGGTGAGCGGCGGGTGGGGTCCAGCCAAGGGCCCGGAAGGGTGGCCATGCAGGCTCACCCTGCCCTCCCTCATCCCGGACCCAGCACTCACCCTGGTGGAGGCACAAGCCAGTCGGCTGGGTGCTCCAAGAGGCAGGTGAGTTACAGGGCAGAACTGGCAAGGGCCACTGAGCCTTTATTCTCTGGGATGGAACTGGATCATCAGTGGGGATGATGCAGTTTCTCCGGGCACTGCAGCCCTCCCCTGGGGTCATGTGAGCCTTGGAGTTCCCCAGCCCTGGACGGCCGGTCGGGGTCCGGTCGAGCACACATGTGCCGCCCCGCCTACCCCCACGGCTTCTGTCCACAGGAGCTCGTTTGCGGGGCGGGTTGCGGCGCATTTCCTGCGTGTGCTCTGTGTGTCCCAGCCAGACGGATCTTTTGTGCGTCCACGTTCTCCAAGGACGTGTCTGTCTTTCCGTGTCTGGGTGTGTCCGAGCTGCTTGCTTTGTGTAGCCAGCGCGCCCGCCCGGGTCACACGTCTGCTGCATCCCCATGGATGCGGGCGCTGAGCCGGCGTGGCCCGCGTGTCCGCGGTGTGCAGTGGAGTTCTCCGCTGAAGCTGTGTGGGATGACCACTTGGGTGTCCCAGTTCTGCGCCTGGGTCCTGCTGTGTTGTCTGCGTTGTGTCTCAACGTGAGTTGTGTGTATGGTGTGTGTGGTGTGTGTGACAACATGTGTGTGTCTAAGTGTGTGACCCAGGGTCACCCCCCCACCCCAGTCAGCAGGGTCTCCCTTTTCCAGGAAGTCCTGCCCACACCTTCCTCGGCTCCCCGCCCCCATTCCCGCAGGGGGAACCCAAACAGGAGGCAGCAGCTGACTCTGGCATGTGACCACAGACTTTTGACTTTGATCCCCGCCCTGGGCAGCTGCCTGTAGGCTCCCCAAGTGGCTCCAGCCTCTGAGGGCAGGTGGGCCGGCACTGGGCACTGGGACCCCCCCACACGTGTGGCTCGTTGGACCTGCCTCTCGCCTCCCTGTCTCCCTCTTCCCTCCTGATTAGTGCCCTGCACACTTATGCTGGTCCCTACAGTCCCTTTCCGGGGTGGAGAGGGGCCCCTCATTCAACGCCTGGGTCACCCAGCACCGGCGGGCTGTCCCTCGCTCCAGCCTAGTGAAACAGGAAGCGGGTCACGAGAACAGGGGCAGACCCCTCCCATGGGAGGCGGCCAGCACGTCTGCACCTGCAGGACCGGTCTCACCTTCGGTTGGCCTGGTTGGCAGGGGCCGGGGTCGAGGTCAACGCCAGGCGCCGGGGAAGCCCAACTGCCGAAGTGCGGGGCGCTCGCAGTCAGAGGCTGCCCGCTTTCGGTGGCAGCGGCCCACCCGCCCTGCCTGCGGACTCACGGCCGACCCAGGTGACCTCTGGGGCCTAGCGCTTTCCACCTGGCCCGGCTGGCCACGCCCCGGAATCCTGCTGGGTCACCCAGCGCCGCTCCACCCCTCCTGGCTCCGGCTGCTCAGTTGGAAAACCCGGCGAGCCCCTCAGAGGGCGGCCCATACCCAACTACTGGGGCCCGGGACCACGCTTGGGGGACCCAGTTTCCTCCCCTTCCTCTCACGCAGGCCCAGAGTCACTACCTGCCTTCACACTTGAGGCGCCACAGCCCTGATCCAGCTCTGGGTGGGGCTTCACCCTGGGCCGGGCCACCCTCTAACGAGGAAGTCTGTCGTCTTCAACCTCAATCTCTGGGTCTTTAAAATGGGTGTGAGGGCAAAAAGAGCCAAATCTTCCTTAGAAAGAATTCCAAATCATGTTAGGTTGAAAGGCCCCTCTAGGAGCTAGAACTCAGTCCTTCTAGCCTCCTTTTGAGTGTGGACAGGAATGAAAAGAGTTACTGACTCTCATCCAATGAATCAAGTATGGAAAAGGAAGAGGTGGGACCTTTACAGTGGAGACACCTGGCAGACACCACAACCGAATGGCCCTGCCTAATACTCTAGTAGTGGGTGGGCTTGATATCACGTGGCCCCGACGTATGGAAGTGAGAGGGGCATCTCCCCTCTGTGGGTTTCTTCCAGCAACAGGTAAGCACAGGCTAATGATGAGAACAGTATCAGTTACACCCCACCTGAGGGATATTCCACAGAAGACCTGCTCAGCGCTCTGCAAAACATGTCCCAGTCATGACAAAGACGAAGGTCGGAGGAGCGGTCGCAGACTGGGTGAGGCCCAGCAGACGTGCGGACACGATGGAACGTGGGATCCTGGGCCAGGAAGGGAGCATCGCTGCAAAAGCTGATGACACCCAGATAAAGCTGGGAGTGTCATGATCTATAACACAGCTCAGAAACCTAACTTCTTAGTTGCAGGTGGGTCATGGTCCAGATAGTGAAGACAGAAAGCAGACCAAAGCAGGGGGGAGAAGGGATACATGTCCCGCTCACTGACTCAGCAGTCCTTGAAATTCTACATCTTTTCCATCATCTGGGAAAGAGAGCCTTCGAAACTGTGCTGCATCCCAAGGCCTGAAAGGCTGGAAAGGGCCCGTAGTGCCTAAAGGAAGAAGCCCATTGATACTTTTGGGTATACACGCCCCTTCCCGGAAAGCTAGCACCACATTTACCTGTCAACCAATATGAAACTGCTTCCCCCTCACCCCATCCGCCAACTGTGTAAGTCCTCAGGACAAAGGCTTGGAGGGCTTGGGGCTCTGGGCTCTCTGGCCTCTGGCCACGGGGGTGCTGGCCACCCCAGCCCTTGGCCTCCGCCACCCCTGCACTTGCCACCTTGGCCTTTGGCCGCTCTTACCTTCGCCACCCTCACCCTGCTACACCCTGAAACCGTGCCTTTCGGCCTCCCACCCCAACCTTAGCCAGGAGAGAACGGATCGCCGATAAACCCTGCTTGCACGCTGATAGACTGGCTGGGCTTTAATTCTTTACTGCATCGGTGAGAAGAACCTGGCTTCTGGGAGTTTCTCCAGGAACAGTTCTAGGAGATGTTAGCCACAGGGGAGACAGCGGGGAGCATGTCCGAACTCTTTGTAGTGGTCTCTGCAACTTTCTGTAAATCAAAAACATTCCAAATTAGTGTCACAGGTTCAATTCCCACTCAGGGTACATGCCTGGGTTGCAGGCCATGACTCCCAGCAACCGCACATTGATGTTTCTCTCTCTCTTTCTCCCTCCCTTCCCTCTCTAAAAATAAATAAAATCTTTAAAAATATATTCCAAATTAAAGAAGTTTACTTGAAAATGAGTATAATCCAAGCAACTGCAAAGTGTTTTCAGCACGTGTTGAGCACCCCATGCCTGCCCAGTGCTGGGTGACACGGGCCAGACGGGAAAACCCACCCTGCGGGGCCGGGCCCACGGGCTCAAGGCGTTTGTGGGGCAGCTGTTAGCTACACTCCTTTCTTTGGAGGTCGGGCGGGCGCTCTTTCTCTATTGTATAATTCATGCACTGTCTGGGGCCTTGTTAGAAAGCGCTGTTGGTTATTTTGCCAGCAGAACGAGTACAGACTTCCTCTTAGCAAGATTGTGGTCAGATGTAAACACAGGAAATGGGACCTCACTACAGACTCAGGGCAGTGGTTGGCCTTGGGGGGTGGGGATGGAATTGGGGCTTGGGGACCAAGGGTCTTCAACTCCATTTTACTGTTTTCTTTTACAAAAAAGGAAAAAGATGATCAGAGCCAATTAGGACCAGATGTTAACATTTGCTTCTTCATGTGGCTGGTACAGGAGTGTTTTAGGGGTAATCTATGCTTTCTATACATTTTTTAACATCTTATTGTAATATGTGGTTTTTATTAAAAAGTTGCAAAATGCTGAAAAGTGAGAAGAAAACAATTATACTCTCCAGTAATATTTCTGTCTGGAGAGTAACTATCCATTAATTTTTCTTTTCTGTTGCTTTCTCTGTACTGACATTTATCTTCAGAAAAATGGGATACTACTGATACCATTTTATAAAATCTTAAGGTGTTCATATTTTCTATATATATATTTTTAAATTGTTATGTTTTCACTTTGGCTGGTGTGCCTTAGTGAATTGAGCACTGGACTGCAAAGCAAAGGGTCACCAGTTCGATTCCCAGAGTGTCAGGGCACATGCCTGGGTTGCAGGCCAAGTTCCCAGTAGGGCTGTGTGAGAGGCAACCACACACTGATGTTTCTGTCCCTGTCTCCCCCTCCCCTCCTCTCTAAAAATAAACAAATGAAAAAAATAAAGTTAAAAAAATTATTTTTCATCACCCAAGGACATATTTTTTTTTTTTGCTTTTAGAAAAAGAGGAAGGGAAAGAGGAAGGGAGAGAGAGAAATATTAATGCAAGAGAGAAGTATCAGTTGGCTGCCTCCCAGTCACGCCCTGACCAAGAATACACCCTTCGATTCCAGGAAGACATCCCACGAACTGAACCACACGGCCAGGGACTCCATATTTTTTTAATTAAAAACTTTACAAATGAGCCCTGGTCGGTGTGGCTCAGTGGATTGAACACTGGACTGTGAAGCAAAGGGTTGCCGGTTCAATTCCCAGTCAGGGCACATGCCTGGGTTGCAGGCCAGGTCCCCAGTGGGGGGTGTGTGAGAGGCAGCCACACGTTGATGTTTCTCTCCCTCTCTTTCTCCCTGCCTTCCCCTCTGTCTAAAAATAAATAAAATCTTAAAAACAAAACTTTATGAAAGCATGAATAAAACAGATAAGATTTTGTGCAGAGCATGCAGTGAAATTTGTGAATTTTTGGCTATATTTCTCTGGCCATCTCCAGGGTACTGAAGAAGCTATTCTCCCTGAGTCTGCCCAGGGGAGCCCTACTCTGCTGATTTTCTGTGGGGGTGGAGTGGGGTATGGGGGTGGGGGATGGGGATCAGGATTTGGCTCAGAGCCTCCCTCCCCCTCCAACCCTGCTTTGCTCCCCAACAGCAAGGTCAATCCCACGGTTGAGTGACACCCATGCACCCTGCCCACTCCGCCCGCTCCCTTTGCTCTCACCACTCCTCTGGCCTTTCTGGACTAGGAGCCCGCTCTGACCCCAGGGTCTTGGCACTTGCTGGTCCACTGTCTAGAAGGCTCTTCTCCAGATTCCTCCCACCTCAGCCTCGTGTCTCCCTTCCCGTTGTATTCAATTTTCTCTAATTTATCTAAAAAGCACACCCCTCCACCCACATCTGACTCCCTCTCCAGCTGCATTTTTTTGTCACCCTTATCACAACTTGATAAAACACACACCTTTTTGGTCTGTCTCCCCACCAGACTGATCTCCAAGGGGACAAGGACTTTTTGGTCTGGCTCCCTGTCGTGTTCCTCTGGCATCTAGAATCCGGGCACACACAGGTGGCTGTTCAGGACTTCTCTGGGGGGTGACTGAGTGAAGGGATGCCCTTTGCGGGCCCCTCTTCCCTCTGGTGCGAATGTGAAGCCTCTCCGCATCCCTCCTGGCTTCCTCCCTCGAATGGGTCCCCCCACCTCCTTCACAGCTGGCTGCAGCTCCAACATGGTGCTGCGGTAGATAATCTGCCCTAGACACAGCTCTCAGAGAGACTGACAATCCCTGATTAGA